CYTKGTCWGTCAGGAAGCTCATGAATGAACSTGCAGGRSTTGGACACAATCATTTTGTGCATCCCCAGAGCAAAAGCAGCTCCTCAACAAGATTTCGAGTGACCAAAGGACAAACCTTCCCCCTTCACCTCTCCACACCAGCTCCAGGGAATCTCTTTCCTTCTCTGTGAGAGCAAACATCCAAGCCAGCAGAGAGTAGTGGACACAAAGGAATGATTTGATAATAAACTTTGACATTGTAACTGCAAAAGCTTTCAGAAAGCTCTGAAGGACTCRCATTTTTTCTGAGCTGCAGCTGTGTAAAGTTCATAATTTTAAAAAAAGACTTTAGGGGAAGATGATGTTCAGGATTCTGTTTTAGCCTCTGCTATGGTTAAATCACAAAAACTTGGTCATTTACATTCATGATTTGTGCTTTGCAAGGAAACATAATTCCAGGGATAAAGGAATAATATTTCTTTGCAATATGCAACAGCAGCTTTTTATTTTTCCAGTAGATTGGCTCACAGGGGAGGTCTGCACACACAAGAGAGCAGACTCTGATGTGGCATTAACTCTCCTCTTTTTGTTCAGGGCCCACGTAGGGAACAGCCAGCATGAGGTGTGGAACACAGCCAACCTGGGCAACTGCCACCGCAAAAAATACATCTGCACCGACGAGGGGCAAAACGAGGTGATAATCCACCAGCACCAGGACATGCCCCTGCCACAGGGGAGGAGAGAAACTCCGCCTTCCCTGACCACCAACGGGAAAGCAGAGTCCCTCAACACTGCCAGGACCTCGGTGCTGCAGGAGCTGACSGAGCTGGACAAGCAGATCGAAATCATCAAGCAGGAGCTGCAACTCGCCATGGACAGGAAATCAGAGCTGGAAGAGTTTGCGAGGACAAACAGGACTGCAGAGGCCTAGCCCGACGCATCTGGGCCCTCCCTTCCCCCTTTTCTTCCTTTGTTCCCTTTCCTCTGTAAAATTTGTAACACTCTTTTGTAATGCCAGAAAGGGGTGTGAAAATAAAGCAGGCAATRAGCTCTGCAGGAGAGCAGAATTGCAGCAGCCCACAGCCACTGCCACCCTCCTGAGTCCTCCTCCTTTCACAGTTTCTTATTCTCCTGGAAAACACCAGCTATTCCCAAGGGTCTGGAGAAACAAGGAGCATCCCAGCTGCGGGAGTTCCTCGTTCTTCCACCAGTACAGTGTGGTTCCACTTTTTTAGCCCTTTCTGTGCATTAATTCAAAAAAAAAAAAAAAAAAAAAAAACAAAAAAAAAAAGAAATTTATTATGCAGGATCAGAAACAGAGTCACAACACAAAAAAAAAAAAAAAAAAAAAAATACCAAAAAAAGGTTTAAACTGTTCACTGGAAGTATGTCCCTTTGTTGGTACATTTTTGTTGTGTTCTGTATGGGTCTAGTCTCTGTTCATGTGAAGGCTCCTCACGGATGCCTCTTTCTTTTATGCCAGGTGCTGTTCTGTGTTGGCAGTCCCTTCCCTCCTCACCAGACARAATTCCTGGTGGCAAACCCAAAACCAGCTGTGGCTGCTCTGAGACTGCGCTGAATGAGCTCGCCCAGCTTAAAATAACTTGGCAAAAACCAAACCACCACCTGTGTCTGCCTGTGAGCCCAGGCTGGGCTTCCACTCCCACATGAGAGAAGCCGTGCAAACGCTGCAGCGGCAGGGGAAGGGATGGATTCASAGTGGCACGGGGYAAGGATGAGAAGGGAAGAGGGGACACTGCTGTAAATCAGTATTTACCTCAAAAAGTGAAGCATTTGCCAGTGTGAAACTCGTCCCTTAATATTTTCTGTCTTAAGCTGCCAATAAGGTTCTTTCTCACAGATGAGGTGACTGGAAGGGGCTCTGGACTAGGATTTATTCAGATACCCCAGGTCCCATCAAAGCCAGGAGTCACCAAAACCTCCCCGTGGATAAAGAAATGAGAATTGTGGTTTCAGAGGCAATGTACGGAGTGGAGCTCTCTCCCTTSTGGGTGATGAGGAGAAGGGTAAGCTGTTCAGCATCTGAATAAACACTGCATCAACCTGACTGACTGTGTTTTTTAAATAGGGTTTCTACTGATTTTTAAACACCACATCCCACATTACCAAGAACGTTTGTAACACCATCAGAGTTAACCTCTGGACACCCAGATACATCACCRAAGTAATTTGTACCCTCCCTGTGTCTCCAGCCACCTCAGGAATGTTGCCCAGGGTGATGTTCTTGCCASGTGTAGGTTAAAGGCTGCAGGCAGAYTGATGAAAACATTCTACCTTTTTRCACTTCTAACCTTTGRAAAACCCTTGCAACATGAAAAGCTCTGCATCTGCAYTAAAAGCTGATTAGTGAGACTCAGACTAATTAGTCCCATCAAGAGTTGATGGGCTGTTCCCTGCTCAGTGCTTGTCCTCTGCCCTTGGGGACCAAGTGTGTCTGCTCCTTCTAAAGCAGTGACAGAGGGAAAAGAAATGAGAACATAAATAAGGGAAGGGGGATCCACGGGCCTGCACCTTGGAAGGTCTGGAAGACCTGGGATGTCCCTGCWTTCCTGACAGGCAARGCACTGAGGTTGTTTTGCTGCCTTCCCTTGCTCTCCCCCGTTAGATAATCAGCTTTTTAGAAGGAGCTGTTTGTGTAGCATCTGGTACCTTACAACCTCCAACATCACTTGGTTAGAACAGATGAACAGTGCTCTCTTGTCATTAAAACACTAGGAAATTTGTATTTCGGTCCAATTTTGTAAGTATTCTTATCGAGGCTTTTATGTCCTTATCTCTACATGCATGAGCCCAGAAAGAGATTTAAAAAACAAAAACAACCAAATGAAAATGTTAATGGTATCTTTCGCAAAAAATGTTTTGCTTAAGGTCCCAACCCAAACACACAATCCTTCAACAAATCAGCCTTCATTTRAAAACAAGAATGTAAGTGTAAAAATGTCAACCACCTAATAATTGCTGTTAATACCTAAATATTTTTTTTATTTCTGGGTGTCTGAAGGGCTTCCCATGTCACATGCAGAATGGGGATTGCTCTGAGTTGCTGCAGTACCAACTAGAAACCTTTCTGGAGCAGACCCAAGCTACTGCTGCCCGACACAGATATATTTTGGCACGTTATTTTYTTGTTCAGCCACTGCTCCAGCCTGACTCCCTGGGGACAGGAGATTGCTGCAGCCTTCTGTGGGGTGTGGAGTACCACAGACAATGTCAGTGCTGCAGACTGTCACAGGGAGGATCTGCTGTGACAGAAGCTGCACTGGTCACTGGAGATGTGGCTTTCTTTTTGTTGTCCAAGACACTGAATTTAGAGAACCTTTTGATAAAGAATACTCATCACCCCTTTACTTCTTTTACTTCAATACTTCTAGTCCTGATAAATTAATTACTTCTATAYATTCCGTTTCTCAGTGTTTTAATTGCAGAGAGAAACTCATTCCCAAAATGAGTGTGAAATTATTTTTTTAAAACCAAAACAATACATTTTCTTGCTAAGGGTGGAGTTCCCAAAACTCCTCAGTGAAACCAATGCAAATTGTTTCAATTATCCATTTCCTGCCATCACCAGAGGGAAMCCAACGTGGTCAGCRTGCACACAAAGCTTGGTTTCAGTAGAAAGGTGGTGCAACAGTGCCTGGGAAAGGACAGAGCTCTGCTGRGGCTGTTTAGTGTCGACTGCTGTTCACAGCTGTAAAAGGAACTCTTGCTGTTGTAGCAAAGCTGTTTGAAGATGCAGTTTGTTCATGACCCAGATCCTGGTGATGAACCAGCATTTGTACCACAAAATTCTACTATCAGCATTAACACACCATTCTTTATCCAGCTTGGTGCCAAAACCTGTAATCCTGGAAGCAACTTGAGTTAAAAGAGGAGAGGGTTCTGCTCTCATTGCTTCTAACAGCTCCTTACAACATGCCAGAAACTCTCAGGTTCCCCTTGGAAAGGCAGGGTCACATGTTCCTTCTCACTTYTCAGGATTCATCATTTACAAGSCTCTRTTMTRAATAYCAYATAYTCTGAAAGTTTAAACAAAAARTWRTGCAYMYTGTAAKAGAGTCTGTGATTAACTCCTTTCACTTTACCTCTGTTTCTGTTATTTCCTGCAGCGAACACAGGAAGGCAATAGAGATTCCATGATTCAGGGAAGGGACACCCATGAGACAAACCTCTGACAGGTGCACCTTTCATGAAAATTAATTTTACAGAAAAAACACTGCACCCTAGGAAGGAATGTTGAAAATAAACAACTTCACATTTTGATYTTAGGAGATGCAGCCTCCAACCACAGGGAGCACTGTGACCCTAACCCACACCACAACCCTCATGAAATTCCCAGCAGCCATGACAAAATGACTGCAGGATAATCCAGCATCTTGGCCCTCCTGCTGTGTCAGGAGTAAGGTACTGGGGATGCAGCCAAAGGGACAAAAGTTGGTTTAGCTGAGCATATTTTGAAAGCAGAGGAAGGACAAAGTCTCTCTACTGGAGAAGTTTAAAGCTTGTGAAAATTGTTTCCAATAACTGAGAAAGGACAGGAGCACAGATACTACCAGAGGCAAGAAAAACAGAAAAATAAACCAAACAACAGCTTTAATTAGATTTTGTGCATAACAAGATTAATCTTTGTGGTAAAGCTGAAACAAAGGAACCCCTAAAAATCCTTTTCTGCAAGGACAATGACAGCAATGCCTCAGCCTAGGGAAGGTGACCACATCAGCCAGGGTTCATCAGTGGAATGCTATTTTCAAAGAGTGTCCAACATCTTTCCCTTCTCTTCTGGATATTTAGATGTTTTTGTTCTGGGGCTAGGGAGGATGTTTCCTAGTGCATCAGCCCGCAGAAGTTCTTGTCCTGACTCAGGAAGATAAACACCTAAGGAGCTGCTACACTGAGTCTGAGATTCAATTACTCTATTTGGCCCATTAAYTGGGAAACTACTCACTCACAGGAGCCTGCTACACCCTGATGGGATTTAATGAACAACCAAAGCAGACCCCTCAAATAAAGCTCTCACTAATCTCTGCTGCACCTTGGACAGCTTCCATCCCACCAAGGCAGCACTTCAGCAGGATGCTCCCACCTTGGCAGTGTCAACATGAGGATGGGAAATCTCAGGCACAAGGAATACACAAAAACAGAGGGCCAGAACAAAGGGAAAGGGGCAAGAAAGGAGCCAAGATCCAGAGTCCRTTTCTTTCGATACCCTAACCTCCCTGAAAACGCTGCAGAGAAGGTCCAAGAAGGTGAGGGAGGCTGGCTSAGCACAGGCACAGACTCTGTGAGGGACTCAGCCGATGTAGATCCTGTGGAAGTCGTTGGCCCCRAAGGCCGCGTTGCACTTGGGGCACTTGCGCTGCCGGGTGTCGTAGCGCGTCTTGACGCACTCGAAGCAGAAGACGTGGAAGCACTTGGTGAGCACCGCGTCCTTCTTGCGCATGTTGCAGCACGGGCACGTCAGGCGGGCCTGCAAYACACASASAGWGYKSTGAGGGCTCTGCAGCCRCCTKCTCTGCTCAGAAAGACTCTGAACATGAAGGTCCTTCCACTCCTCAGAAGGACAATGTGGTTACTTCAATGCCAGAGTACAGACAAGACAGTGTGCCTACAGTCCTTGTGACTTAAGTAAAGAGGGAAGCTGACACACACAGATACTCACCTTGTAATCCTTGATTTCCTCCATCAGGATCTCATCACAGTTGGGAACCATGTCAGGCTTCTTTGTGGTCTCCAGCTTCCTGCGCAACCTAGAAATATCTTCCTGCACARAAAGAGGAGACCAAGTGAATGAGCAGTACATTCTCTGTCACAGCTTCTTTGGGGACCAAAGTGCACATGCACCTGCCTAAGTCATGCCACCCATAGTTTCACCCCCAATAACCCAAGAGATGATGTGATCATCTGATGCCACAAGTGCTATCAGTTATCAGTGGACAAAACCTGAAAGAGCCAAGACCTGATAAAGAAATTAAAGTGGAACTGTGCACCAAAAGAGTAGTTCAGCTGAAACCCTCTCCAAACTCAATGCACAAGAAGGACACTAAAGAAGACAGATATTGAAGGATTGTGCATATAACATATACCTCAGCCCGTTTGAAGTTGAACATCTCTTTCTCTCTAGTTACTCTGTTTTCCACAATCTCCTCCTGAAAATCATGTAACTTCTTCTGAGCCAGCTCTAGCTGGGCCTTCAGATCATCTGCAAGCTGGGCTGCATCCATGGCCTGAGAAAGAAAACCAGTATAGAAGTT